GTAAGTATAAATGTACTAAACTATAAAATCCAAAATCATGTTATTAATCCAAATGGCAAGATGGAATCAATCATCTTTCTCCTTTTTCCAAACTCACTGCTCCTCCTTTAATTGTTTTTGTTAATTTTTGATCATCAACTTTTAAGTCATTTAGGTTGGAAACTTTGATAATATGGTTAGATGACTACCTCTTCCTTGCTTCTCATGTCTATTCCCCAGAACTGCCGATTCCCACTTTGGAATTAGGCTTTTCCTCTCTCGTGGTTTTTTATTGGTTTTCGTATATGTTTTTCTACCTTTTTACATAATATTATACACAGAGAAACACACACATACTTTAACCATAAAATGTTATTAAACTCCTTGAGACAGGAAGTATTTCTTCATGGTGCCCAACATAGTGAGGTTTTCTTAAATGTTTATTGAGCTATAGTGGATATATTAATTCATTAACCTAATTATCCTAATGGGGATTTAAAATGGGTGATCTAAAAAGTCCATTATTTCTTTGTACCTCAGGTTTACTGTCCCCAGCATATTATTGTCTCTATTTTTAGAAACTTGTCATGTCTTTTTAAAAGTAATTTTGTTCATACTATGAAGTTCTATTTATTTCCCTCACGCTGCTACAAAGGATAATTAGGCCAAAAGTGGTGCCTCTTAAATTGAATGAATAGTTTTTTTTTTTTTTTTTAAATCTAGAATTCTGGCTCTGGAGGAAGAATAGAGGGAACCAAAGGGCACTAGGGCATAATGATTATAACTTTATGCCATTTAGCTCTTCCCTTTCCTACTCTCAGCCTAAAACATGAGAGATGCTCCAGGAAAAAAAGAAAGAGTGCTTTAGTCAACTAATTTTGGAAAATTTGCACACTTTATCACTGTAGCCCCAGGGGAAATCTACCATATATGGTAGCATAACAGGGGTCTGAGATCTGCTGTGAAGAGTCCTGTTTATCTTGTTCTATACAGTGTTTTCCATTTGGCAGTGAAACCCTCCTCCTCCTGTCTTTTGGTGTAAAACCTATTGTCCTATAGAATCATCAGTGTGTTCTTGAACATATTTTGGGAAATGCTGGTATATACAAACTTATTTTGAAGATCTGTCTTTAATAAAAGCAAAAAAGGTCACCATTATAGTTTGCTGACAAGCTTTATGTGTGTTTAGGATAGTTTGGGCCAAATCATCATTTTAAGCCATTTTAAATTACCTACTTGTTATTATGTTTTGTCTTATGTGCTATTAAGTAGGCTGAATAGATTCGTTTTTTTTTTTTTCAGTAGGTTACTTTCTAAGACCTGTAAGTTTTCTTAATTGTGAAAGTGATTTGAAAGAATGAACATTATATAAATGTAATCCTAAAGGAAGGTGATGAAAACATAATACCTTATGCTTAATTTAATTCCGCATTTTCACAGTGCATGCTCATTTGAGTGCCCCAAAGTAATATTTGCTATTGTAGCCTTTACAAGAAACACAGAAAAATGTATAATCATTAAGTAGTAAATCAAAGGGTAGAAGAATGAAACATTTGAATATGTCTACTCCTACCATTTGGATGTTCTTTATCACTGACCCTTTTAAAATATTAAAGAAGCAAGTAGGCTGATTAAAAAAAAATCTAAGTTACTTTTAGAAAATGAATTAAAACCTTTTTTCTTTATGGTGGATATGATGTCAATTTGAGTCTTAGCTGACAGTTAAGGATTGATTTTTCTCGCTTTAAAACTGCTTGGTTGAAATAGTAATGTGATGATATATTTTGGATATTGCAGTTTGTTTCCAAAGTCTGACTTGTGAAATAATATATGAAGAAAACCACAACTCGAAAGCTATAATTAAAAAGTGTTTTTTTGGGGGGCGGGGAGCCAGGAGCAGTGGCTCACACCTATAATCCTAGCACTTTGGGAAGCCAAGGAGGGAGGATCCTTTGAGCCCAGAAGTTCAAGGCTGCAGTGAGCTATGATTGTGCCATTACACTCTAGTCTGGGTGACAGAGTGAGACCCTGTTTCTGGAAAAAAAAAATTTTTTTTTTTTTACTTTGAGTTAATATTAGACTTACAGAAAAGTTGTAAACACTATTGTTTTTTTTCATTAGTCAAAAGTGCGAGAACATGAAACTTAATAGGTTATTTATTTTGTTTTGTAGTATTGAGGCTAATAGTCGAATTATGGAATTGGATCCCAATGATGGATCATTAAAAGTGCATTATTCAGATCGCTTGGTGATTCTTCTGAGAGAAGTTCGTCAGCTTTCTGCACTTGGCTTTGTTATTCCTGCCAAAATACAGCAAGTTGCAAACATTGCACAGAAATTCTGCAAGCAAGCAATTATTCTTAAACAGGTATGAAATTATATTTCTTTAAAACTTGCATATTCTGAGTTCATTACATTAAACTGGAATATGTTAAGGACTTTGTTTTTTTAGGCTAATAGAATAGCACCACCAATTCTTGTGAAATTATGAATTGCTAAATGACTACATTACAAAATTTGCTTTGCAACCTACGTAGGAATTTATTAATTTAAAGTATTTTTGTTTATTGCTTTCCATTCTAAAAGCATTTTGAATATAGAAATAATTCTTTCTTTCATGTTACTTGCATGGGTTTTAAAAGACCTTCTAATTAAAGGATCCTTTGCCTTCCTCCTAGGGGCATATTCTTAAAGAATTACCAGGCTGAGAGATTGGATTGGTCTCTGTTTCTAGTCATTTCCTTGGTCTACATATTCACACATTGCCATTGTGTCAATTCCCTGTTTAAAACCAACCTTTATCAGCTTACAATCTGTCTTCTTAGCATGGCATAAAAGACTCTTCTTAATCATGTCCCAACTAAACTTACTGGTTTTGGCCTTCACTAGCTATACTTACCCTCATGTTGTATCTATGCTTCAGTTATATAAAGCTTAGCTTTTCTCTGAACATGTCTTCATGCATTGAAATATGTTCTTTGCTTAGGAAACTCAGTGTCATTGTTTAATTCCCAATTTAAAAGTCACTTGCTTTGTGTGTATTTCATTAGTTGAATTTTTTTTTTTTAAAAATCTGCGTGCAGTGTGAAAATCACTGTTATAACACTTCTGTTGTATCTGATTTTTTTCATTTTTTCTTTGGCTTGATTATTAGATCTTAAAGGGCAAGAACAGTATCTTACAAGGCAGGAACACTGTCTTGTGTATTTTGTCTTCCATTTATTCTTTCATGCAGCAAAGATTCAGTGAGCATAGTGTAGTGAGGATATAAAAATGAATATATTACTATCATAGTCTGGCACAGGATTTCTTAGTCTCTGCACCTTTGATAGTTTGGACCAATTCTTTTTAGGGAGGAATATCCTGTGCATTATAAGATGTTTAGCAGTGTCCCTGGCCTGTACCTGGTATGTTCCAGGAGCATCTACTCCTGACAATCAACAATATCTCTAGATATTGCTAAATGTTCCCTGAAGTGTAAGTCAGCTATGGTTGAGAATCACTGTTCCGGTGGGTGAGAGCAAACTAAACAGAGTGCTCATTAAATGTCAGGACTTGAGGTAGATGCTTTATTTATGTTATTTCAATTAATCCCCTGTTGTACCACTGATCTAATTTGGCATCAGATTTATAACATAGTTTTCCTGGTGCCATACAGGTTGTATGTTATGAAGCTAGGATTTGATACCAAGTCTCTCTTGATTCCAGAGCTCATGTTTATTTCATTTCATGTAGTGATGATAGATATGTGGACAGGTAGATACAATATTTAATATAATATAGATGTTCAGAAAGTCTTGTGAAAGCATAGAGGTGGGAATTTTCTTTTTCTGGGTGGGATAGAAGTAGTATCAGGTAAGTCATTTGGGAGGAATGATGTTTGATGTGAGTCTGGAAGAGTATACATACATTTTCTCAAGTGTATGAAGGCTTGGGTGATCATTTCAGTTAGAGTGACTACTTAATGAAAAGCAGAGAGGCTTGCTCACTTTTGTATCCTAAGTATTTAGTCTGATGTAATAGGAGCTCAAAAAATGAACGGTCATACAGTATTTGCATTTACCCCTGGAAGAACAAGTGGGCAAATCTGTTTATGTATACCTTTATTTAGGAGCAGATATTTAGCTACAGTATGGAGTATAAATTAGACTGTTGGATAGATAGCAATATAGCTAGATTGTTGTATTAATAATAGCATGTATACTGTTGCTTTTCATTTTCCTGATCATGCTTTTTCTGGACCTACTTTTGTGGTACAGAATAATTAGAGTGGGTATTCCCCACAAAATAAGGTATATTTTCATGCATATTAGTGGAAAGAAGAGGACTCTTTATAAAATTAGTTAAGAAATATTTTTTAAGCACTTGATGTGTGCCAAGAGTGTTGTGACATGCTAGGGACATAGCCCCAGGCTCCTTAAACTCCTTAGACTCAGCCCAGGTTATCCACTAGATCTTCCCTGAAGCTCACCTTTTTCCCCCAACAGAGTTGACAATGTCCTCCTTTGTCCACCAGCATCCCTTGTAGTTATCTCTATTTATTGATTCATTGATTAATTTAACAGACATTGAGTTTGTTATTGAGAACTTGCTATTTGCTTGGCATTGTTCTTAGAGCTATCATTTCAGTAGGAGAGACAGATAGCAAACACACAGATATATAACACAATGCTAGGTAGTGATAAGTGCTTTGAAGAAAAATAGAGTAAAGAGATTGTGGCAAAGACTGTTATTTTATATAGAATGGTCAGGGTAGGCCTTGATGAAGTGGTAATATTTGAGAAGAGACTTGACATAAAGTAGACAAAGGAACTATGTGACTATCTAGAGGGAAACCATTCCAGGCAAAGGAAATGACAGATGCAAAGTACCTGAGGGAAACCTCATGTTAGAATAACAGCAAAAGAGGCCAATTTGGCTGCAGTGCAACAAGGGAGGCTTTTGTGGTGGGGCTAAGCACCAGTTCTTACATGCTAAGGTAAGGGCATGGGTTTTGTATCTGAAAGAATGAAAATGTGGATTTTATTCTTTACTGTAATGGGAAACCATTGAAAGGTTTTTAGGCAAGAGTTTCGGGATTTTGAATTTTATTCTCAATTGTATTGGGAAGTCATTAGGTTTGGGTAGGCATGAGGTGCCTACTCAAAACCTTCAAAAGACCACACTGGATGCTTTGAATGGAGGCAATGGTTGGAAGCAGGGGGACCAGTTCGGAGGCTGTTGCACTGGTCTTGCGGAGCAATGAGCTGCTGTGGATTGGGATGCAATTGATGGAGGTGGGGTGAAGTGATTGGATTCAAGGTATATTTTGAAAGTGGAAGGCAATAGACTTTTGCTGATGTGGGATGTGAGAGAAGTGATAGGACAGTGCAAAGAATTTTTGGTCTGAGAACTGGATGAATCATAGTGGTATATATTGAAAAAGAGCAGCTTTGGAGAGGTGCGGGAGTTAAGAATTTAGTTTTTCAGCACTTAACATGTTTTACTGGGTTCCTTCTTCCTATGAGACTATGATTTCTTGATTCCAGGGACCAGGTTTTATAATCATTGTTTAATCTGCCCTCAGGACGTGAATTGGCAAATTGTAGGAACTCAACACATATATGTTGATTGTGTATATTAATATATGAATAGATGCAATATTGGAGATGAAAAAACTATTTTATGTTCTAATCTTAGGATTGAGAAAAATTAATATTTCCATTCAAACAATTAAAAATGAAAAAAAATTAAAACTTTAAAAATGAAATGTTATCGATTATTGATTATTGCTAATTGGACTTTTTACTTTGTAGGTGGCACATTTTTATAATTCTATTGATCAACAAATGATTCAAAGTCAGAGGCCAATGATGTTACAATCTGCCTTAGCATTTGAACAGATAATTAAGGTAAATGAACTTTTTATTTTATTATAATTATATTTTATATGTGAAGTGTTTCATAGTTTTTTCAACTATAGATTTAAATGGTTATAATGTTTCATATATTTTGGTACTGATTTTGATCAATTGCATTAATAGAGATAGTATAAGATTTGTGTGCTATTTATTTATCCACTGAAGTTTAAGGTCCTTGTAGATAAGGTTCCTTAGTGCTTTTCCACCCTCTCCTGATTTTGTAATTTAAGACTTATTTGTTCTTTATGTGTGCTTATTTAAATATCCACACATATGAAATCAGGAAAACCCACAATAGTGTTTAAACTGAATGTTACTATGTGACTACTAACTTTTTGAAATCTATAATTTTAGTTCTTCATAGACAAGAAATATTTAAAAAACTAAGTAGAAGAGGAATATAATAACCTTTTCATCTTTCATTTGAAAGTAGATGACTAGTTGTGTGAAGGTCCTGAATACCATCCCAGGTTCTGTGATTTGCTAGGAGGACTCACAGCAATATTTATTATAGTGAGTGAGTGGATATAAAGCAAAATCAGCAAAGGGAAAGGTGCATAGGATGAAGTTCCAGGAAACCAAGTATAAGCTTCCAATAGTGCCTTTTGGCAGTTCCAGATTGGAGTCTTCTCCAGCACCCTGTCCTAGATATATAGAAGACAATAAGGAAATTGAAGTGTGTTGTTTCTTAATTCCTGAAGTTTCTAGGCTGTCTGCCTTCTTTGTTCTACTTTTGAGTCTTCTTATGCATGTTGTGTTATGTCCAGGGTTTTTTAGTTGTAAGAGGGAGAACCTGGAAATAATGGGCTGCTTAATTTTGGCCAGGCTGCCTTATCATTTATAAAATGGAAAATTATTATGTGCTTTCTTTAATATAGGTCAGTGTTGGTGATAGTTGGACTTACGAGGTAGAATATTGAATCTTTTGGAGAAGAGAATTGCATCTAAATACTAAATGTGATTTATTGTACCATAGCATTCAAAAGCCGGAACTGGAGGAAAATCACAAATTACTTGGGATAATCCTAAAGAATTAGAATGTTACATCCAAAAACTCCAAAATGCTGCTGAACGACTTGCCACTGAAAATAGAAAACTGAGAAAATGGCACATGACATTTTGTGAAAAGGTATTTTTGTTTATAAAATTAAATAATCTATGAATTGTATTAATTAAAAGGTAATTAAGATATAATTTTTAAAAATATCTTATTTTGAAATAATTTGAGACTTAAAGTTGCACAAATAGTACAGAAAATTCACATTTACTCGTCACTTAGCTTCCCCTAATGTTAACAACTTATATAACCATAGTACAGTTTTCAAAGCCAGGAAATAGACCGTTTTTGAATTTTACAAGTTTTTTTTTACTAACATCCTTTTTCTTTTCCAGAATACAATCCAGAATCTCACTTTGCATTTAGTTGTCAAGTCTCTGTAGTCTCTTCCTCCTCAGTCTTTCCCTGTTTTTCTTGACCTTGATGAGTATTGGTTAGTTATTTTGTAGAATATCTCTCTCAACTTGGGTTTATATGATGTTTTCTTATGATTATATTGGGGCTATGTAATTTTGGCAGAAATACCACAGAAGTGATGCTTTGCCCTTCTCAGTATATCAATCAGGTATTGATAAGTTTTACTATAGGTTGACTTAAATTTGATCACTTGGTTAAGGTGGTGTCTGTCACTTTTCTGCACTGAAAAGTTAGTATTTTTCCCATTGGTACTTTGAGACCATTATGCTCTAATTTTTAATAGGTGGTTATTCTTATGAATATTGATCTGCTTCGGCAGCAACAACGTTGGAAAGATGGACTACAAGAATTGAGAACTGGCTTAGCAAGTGTAGAAGCACAGGTAGAGAATGTTTTATTTTGTGTTAATACTTTGAAATATGACCTTATTAGAATGTGGCTACAGTATATGAATTGATGAGATGTTCATAAAGATTATCTCCAAATCTTTACTAATAAATTTAGAATTTTTTGACTAAATTATATATAAAAGCCATATGTTAACAATTAATTTACATTTAAAAATATAAAAATAAGTTTCTATTTGTCTTACAAAATGCCAAATCCCTCAGTTCAGAGTTTGTAGTTTTTCTGACTTGGTATTTAAATATCTACCATTTGTTAGCTCTCTTTTAGGTGATTGTGACATCCATAGAACACCAAGTTAAATTTAGGCAGTAGCTTAGTGATTGGAATAAGTCTATTTCACAAATTTTTTTTACCTGTTTTGGAGTAAAATTTCAGTTCTATTCATAATTTGATATAAGAGATGATGTATATATAAAGGTGGCTAGCACAGAGTCTGCTACATAGTATGTGGTAATGTGATCTTAGTTGAACGAATTAGGTATCTTACACATTTACATATATTTTTCCATTTTTAGAAACTTAAGAAAAACAAAAGTACTAGAATTGATATATTTATGGTTGTATGGAAGCAAAAAAGTATGTAAACTATTCTAAGCATTCTAATAGTTTAAATTTCTTATGTGTTTAAATATATAATTGATTATTTAGGGAGTAGGAAGAAGAGAGCTATACTTTATGGGAATTTTTGAGAAAGGATTAAGAAGTTCACAAAATAAATCGTTGTGGTACTGCATCATAAAATAAAGTCCAAATATAAAAGTCATTTAATTTTTGCTTGGTTTTAAAATTTTACTGAAATTTTTATATACCATTTATAAGCATGATGGTTAGAGGTTTTCATATTTGGCTCTATATAAACTCTTATACTAAAAGGGGCAATATAGAGGCACATGTTTTAAGATATTTAAAAATGAATGAATTTTTTTGCTTATAATTTTGCTTTATGTGACATGAAAGTATTAAATGAAAAATTACTGCTTAATTTCTAAATAAAAATATGAATATAACATATTAGGGATTCCAAGCAAGTGACATGCATGCATGGAAACAGCACTGGAATCATCAGCTGTACAAAGCTCTGGAGCATCAGTATCAGATGGGCTTAGAAGCACTTAATGAGAACCTGCCAGAAATAAATATAGACTTAACTTACAAGTAAGATGTTTTTAAACCTGAATTTAATGTTCAATTAGTAATTTTCGAATAATTTATATCTTAAAGTTATTTATTTACTTCCAGACAGGGACGGTTACAATTCAGGCCTCCTTTTGAAGAAATCCGGGCTAAATATTATAGAGAAATGAAGAGATTCATCAGCATTCCAAATCAGTTTAAGGGAGTGGGTGAGGCAGGAGATGAATCTATTTTTTCTATTATGATTGATAGAAATGCAAATGGATTTCTGACTATTTTCAGCAAAGCAGAAGATCTGTTTAGAAGATTGTCAGCTGTTTTACATCAACATAAGGTATAGAACATGTAATTTTCCATCTTTCTAACATAAAATTTTGTCTGATTGAATTAACATTAAATGTATTAATGCAAATTAATAATTTATCTGTGTGACATAAAATTAAAATATGGCAAATCAGAGAGCAAGATCCATATTTGTAGATTCTTTTTTTTTTTTTTAGTCTTGCTCTGTTGCCGGGGCTAGAGTGCCGTGGTGTCAGCCTAGCTCACAGCAACCTCAAACTCCTGGACTCAAGCTATCCTCCTGCCTCAGGCTCCTGAGTAGCTGAGACTACAGGCATACACCACCATGCCCGGCTAATTTTTTTTTTTCTATATAGATTTTTAGTTGTCCAACTAATTTCTATTTTTAGTAGAGACGGGCTCTCGCTCTTGCTCAGGCTGGTCTCGAACTCCTGACCTCGAGGGATACTCCCTCCTGGGCCTCCCAGAGTGCTAGGATTACAGGCATGAGCCACCGTGCCGGACCCTATTTGTAGATTCTTACACAGCCTAGATTTATGCTACAGATGAAAAAAAAGTTAAACTAAATTTATTTTTTGTCTTTGAGTATTTCGTGAAGATTGAGAAACTAGTTTTTTTGTTTTTTGCTGTTTTAAATTGTGTCAACTTTGTATGTCATATGAATCTATTGTGTCAATTGTAATTCTGAAGCCCTCTAATGTTAATGAAATAAGGGTGATTTAACTGTTTATTTCTGTTTAAGTGCATCATGTAAACTAACTCCAAATATAAACCTTAATTGCATTGCTCATTTATATTGATCTCGAGACATAGGACTGATAATTTGACTAGTATTCCACATTTTATATTTCTAGAGCAAATCTGGATACATACAGATTTGTAGCCTATGGTGACTCCTGGCTTTGCAGAAGTGATTCTGTCTTTGTACTTTGTATACATCTCATTTGAGAAGAGAATCTAAAGAAAGGGTTTTTATAATTTCCTTTAAAAAGTCTACGATCCCTGCATTTTCATAGTAAATCTTTTTTTGTTGTTTTTTTTTTTTGTTTTGTTTTGTTGTTTTTGAGACAAAGTCTCTCTCTGTCACCTGGGCTAGAGAGCAGTAGCATCATCATAGTTCACTGCAACCTCAAATTCCTGGGTTCAAGTGATCCTCCTGACTCAGCCTTCCAAGTAGCTGGGACTACAGGCACACACCACTATGCCTGTCTAATTCTTCTACTTTTTGTAGAGATGGGGTCACACTCTTGCTCAGGCTGGTCTCAAACTCCTGGCCTCAAGTAGTCCTCATGCTTTGGCCTCCCAAAGTGCTAAGATTATAGATGTTAGCCACTGTGCCCAGCCCTATTCATTTTTTAGGCTATGCAGTAGTGGTTACATTTACATACTTAAATTGACATTTACTTGAATACCTCACATTTGCCCCTTTTTATTGGTCTTAACAATTGGATCCTAATCTTTTAAATATAATTTATTAATATGTTTTTCATTCTTTAAATAGGAATGGATTGTAATTGGGCAAGTTGATATGGAAGCTCTAATAGAAAAGCATCTTTTTACTGTACATGATTGGGAGAAAAATTTTAAAGCACTGAAAATAAAAGGAAAAGAAGTAGAACGACTTCCAAGGTATTGGAGGTTAATGTAGTACTTATGTGTCATAATAATTTTTGGTATGGATAGTAAGAGTATTCTTTACTTAGTGGTGTTGAAATCACATCAGCTTCTTGCCTCCTCTAGATCTCAGCTATGACACTTGAGTAATGCCAATCTGGATAGGGCATTCCAGAGAATAAAAGTTTTCCTTCTAGAGGCTCTGCTGGCTGAGACCTAGTTGGGTAGAATGGAGGTTTCTATTCAGATCTGGTATGATATCTTGATACGTATTGGCACAGTCCAAGTATGGCTAGAAGCTACTGGTGAGAGCATACTAGAAAATACAAAGCCAATGACATTTTACTCTGCTTTTGTACTGCTTTGCTTTCTTTCAAAATGCCCTAGGAAGCACACAACATAGTGCTGCATCCAGGTACTGCCCTAAATATAGACAAAAGCCACTGAGGGCCATCTCGTAACCTAGCTACTTGAGACTATATCCCCCTTGCTATCTGATATTCTCACCACTGGAAGCACTCTTAGCAATAAGTTCAATGAAAGGCCTTATGTAATAGTGCAAATATCCCCTATAAAGGATAATATTACTTTTATTAATTCATTTGTTCATTTTTTCAGTAAATATTTGGTGAGCATTTATAACATGCATCACTTTGTGCTGTAGGAGTACAAAGATGAAGATGACAGAGAACCTGAGATCAAGTTGCTTTCTCTCTGGTAGTGCAATAAGACACAAGTATATTTGATGATTAAGTCAAGTACACACAGTGGTGAAGGGAGTGGGTTCTGGAGTTAGATGGCTTTTATCAGCTGCTTGACTTTGACAGTGATTTAAATTGTGAACCAAAATTTCTTTAACTTTAAAATAGTTACAACAATAGTATTTATCTCAGAGTTTTGAGGATTAAGTGAGTAATTGACATGTAAATTACTGGTACACGTGCGTTTTCAGTAAGCATTGTTTTTAATTATTGTTAGTATCAGAAAGAATAGTCTATATTTCAAATTAGAGACTGAACTAAAACTGTGGGGATTCAGAGGATGACATCTCCATTTGGAGTAAAATCAGGGCAAGTTTTGTTAGAATAGTAACACTTAAATTAGGATTTTGACAGGTAGAAATGAGAATGGGAGGTTAAAATCTCTCTTAAGGAGAGGAATTTGTATACTGAAATTATGAAGTTGGTTAATGAGAATTTTATTAGAGTTAATGTTTTATCAGTGAATAGAGGGAGATGATGCTGGAAAGGAGTACCTAAGGTACAAATTGGGGAAGAGTCTCATATTCTGAAATAGAGAATTTGGATTTTATTCATTTTAGAGTGGTTAGCTTTTGAAGTTTCTAAATAGGAGTGTGTCAGTACCAAAGCTGTGCATTAGGAAGGTTCATCTTAAAATAATGAGTTACATGGTAGAGTAAAGAGATCCCAGAGGCTGACAGGCTGTCTGTCAGTCATCCAGAAGACCAGTGATAATTAATTGAATTAAGCTGTTGGTACTCAAAATGAGGAGGAGGAAATACTGTGAGGAATTAAGAAGTCTTATTTATTGGAGGAAGATGAGGGATGAGGAATAGAAAGAAATAAATGATTTGTGGTTTTGAGCTTGAGTGATTTGGATAATGGTAATGACACTAACATTAGTTTGAAGTAAGGAAAAAATAACGCTTTTGTTCTGCTTGCATATGAGGTTTCTCTTCTCTGTTGGGTCCTATCTTTGATCCCAATCTTGCCCATCTTCTTTGCCATAATGCTGTCACCTGGCTGCTCAAGGACCTCAAATGCTACCTCTTCTATTTGTTTGTCCCTTACTGTAGACAGCTTTCTCATTTGTGCTTCCTTGCCAAAAGTTCTAAACAGAGCAAAACAAAAAGAATGCCTGTTCTATCTTCATTCTATTTTCCATTTTGCTATTTTTTACTAACAAATTAACGTTTATTTAGGCTAATAAACACATACATGCACACACAAACACAGAGATTTATTTTATTGGCATTTTTTGGAAATATGCTATAAGATTAGAAAAGCCATATTCTAATGATGTATTTCAGGTAGAGTAGTAAGAAAATAATTTTTGATTAGGCATCTTTGATATATAATGAGGCATCTTCCCATTCTATCTATGGCTGAACAAAATCTCAGTAACATAGTATGAATAATTTCAATTGAAATGTTAATGTTAGTTGTGTCCACAGCATTCTATTGTCAGTGACTAAAACTTCTTTGCTATAATTATGTCATTTTATGTTAATTCATTATCAAAATACAATATAATGTAATTTTTTAGGTTTTCTCAAATCCTCTATCTTCATGTATCAAATGTCAGAAATCATGACTCTTTATGTGTCAAGATTTTGTAAATCATATACCTTCATGTATCAAGCAAATTGGCTCTTACAGCTTTTGGTGCTTAAGAATTTTAGTTTAAACCTCTCCAGCTAGTGAGTGAGTGAGAATAAATAAATAAAGCCTTAAAAGAAAATTATGTTTTTATTGTAAAACTGTAAGTACTTAACACTTATGAGTTCCTTTCTAAGGATCTTACCAGGCTCCATGCTTTAGAAAAGGCAAGTAGTTTTCTAAATAATCTTATTGACCAAAATTTTCAGATCCTTTTTTAAACTTTTTATAATTTAAGTATGAGATTTTCCTCAGATGAGTGAGGAAATATTCTCTTTGCTTAGAGCATTACAATTCGCATTAGGCAAAGAATTAGTCTTACTATATTCCTTTTTTTCTGGTTATTAAAATAGTACATTTGTTTTATAAATTTTTTAAAATATAGAAAAGTACAAAGACAATTGCTATTAATATTTGATGTTTGGGACATATTAGAACATATCCTTACAAAATTGAGATCATACTATATCCCACCATTTTTATTTAATAATATTTCATTAATGTTTTGCTATTCCTTAAAAATGTGATTTTTAATTATATGGATATATAAAAATTTATTTAGCCATTCCTATATTTAGCTTATTTCTAAGTTTTCCTTATTATAGTTAAATGTTTTGATGAAAATACTTTTATATAAATCTTGGAGTCTGCCTTGGAAATTTTCTTAGGATAAATTCTAAAGATAAAGTTATTAAGACAAAAGATACACCTATTTTAAAATTTTTTGATATATAATTTTCTCTTTATGTAGATTATATTATTTTATACTCTGACCAAAAGTTCTGAGAATTCTGTTTGCCTACACAATTGAAGATACAAATTAACCATTCATTATGTGATATTTTTGTCAATTTGATAGGTATAAAACAGTATCTCATTGTATTATTGTTTTAGTGCCTCAATAATCTATATTCACTTTCTATCTATATTTGTTTTCTTTTCCTTATCATTATTATTTGTATTTTGGCTGCAAGATAGTGAATTTATTTTATAAATATTTAATATTTAATAAGTATAATTATTAATTATACATGCTGGGACAAGAGGAGCTTATGAATATTTAAATATATTCTGTTGATAATTTAGTAATTCATAATGTGCTGCCTTTTTAAAAGCTAATACATTGGATGATTAAAATAGTAGTATTATAACAAAATCATTGTTCAGTGAAAAACTTCAAAATAGTATATATAAGGCATTTTTACTAAATTAAATCTAAATGTGCTTAAAGATTACGATAATACTTTTCACTTACATTTTAAAATATATTACACAAAATCATTATAATATTATAATGAGACTCTTTTCCTCTAATTTGTCTTTTTCATGTCAAAATATGTCCTTTGGCATTTTTCAGTGCTGTCAAGGTAGATTGTTTAAATATTAATTGCAGCCCTGTGAAGACTGTGATTGATGATCTCATCCAGAAGTTATTTGATATGCTTGTTCTTTCTTTGAAGAAGTCCATCCAGGGTAAAGACCTTTTTAATTTTTATTTTTAATTTTATTGGTAGAGACATATATTTTGATAGTTATAAAATATGAATCTCAGTGATGATTAAAAATCAGAACTGACCTAGGAAGTATTATGAAATAAAATTTTCTCAAAATGATAATTTTAAAGAAGTAGAAAAGTCTATGTTCAAACCTTAAGTCTAAAAATTGAAGACATCCCAATTATTTGCAGTCAGAGCTATTATCAGTTGGTTGCATGTGTTCCTGAGAAAGGTAGGTAATTCTAGTGTGTTTTTCTCCTTAACTCTTCAAATGACAAACTATTTTCTAACACAGCATACTGTTTCTTTTCTTTAAACAGATGTTTTAGCTCATCATTTAGAAGACTGAAAACTTCCTAATTTTTAGTAAAATTTACTAAGAATGAATACAGTTTAATTTTTTCTTTTCTTTTCTTTCTTTCTTTCTTTTTTTTTTTTCTGAGACCGGGTTTTGCTCTGTCTTCTGGGGTAGAGTGTAGTGGCATGATCATAGCTCACTGCAACTTCAAACTCCTGGGCTTGAGCGATCCTCCTGCCTCAGCCTCCCAAGTAGCTGGAACTACAGGCACATGCCACCATGCCTGGCTAAGTTTTACAATTTTTGTAGAAATGATGTCTCACTCTTGCCCAGGCTGGTCTTGAACTCCTGGCCTCAAGCGATCCTCCTGCCTCAGACTCCCAGAGCGCTAGTATTACAGGTGTGAACCACCATGGCTGGCCTAATTTTTTCTTAAAAATTTTAAATAAAACGTGGAACAACTAAACTTTCATGAGAAGAAATTTCTTTGCTTATTCCACATCTTGAAATTTTGTTTCATGCAAGCAAATGATAATTTAGAATGTAAATGTATTTCATGTAGTGATTACTTCAAACAGTCCTTGATTTACAAATTATGTAATGGAATATTTTTGGTGGTAGTAATAATGTTTCTTATATTTCGATGTTACCTATTCAGCTCACTTACATGAAATTGATACATTTGTTACTGAGGCTATGGAAGTCTTAACAATTATGCCCCAGTCTGTGGAAGAAATAGGTCATGCAAATTTACAATATAGTAAGCTACAAGAACGGAAGCCAGAGGTGAGAATCACAAAGTAAAGTTATTATTATTATTTTTTTTACTGTGCTAGAAATGTTTAAATTAGGTAATTTTGTGCGATTATTTAGAAATAATCTCAACATTATAAGAAGGTCCACAATGATCTGGTCCAACCAGTCAGTTCACGATTGGACTCTCCATGATGTATTGGTGTAATGAAACAGTAACAGTAATGCTTAGTATTATTTTCAGAAGTATTTCCAGTCTATTTTATGATGTGGCCTGTTAGAATAAGTGTAAACTTAAAATAATTCAAGCTGTTACTTTTAGGGTCATAATTTTAGGATGCTGAAGTATGAAGTTATTGCTGAATTAGGAATACACACACACACAGTGGAAGAGCTCGTAATTAGAGATGAGAGAGTGGTAAGGATTCATAAAAACAGTATCCACAGCTAGAGCCCAGAATAAACAAGCCAAAGTTTTATAGAACATATTATGGATAATTTTAGTTATGTTTAGAGCAAGAAGGAAAAATAATTCAAATTAGTACACCAACTTTTGTGTCTCACTCCTATGTGATAGACTTAAAGTTATAAAGAGAGTTTAAAGGTGAATAAAATAATATACCTTTCTGGTGGAAGGAATTACGAAGTTTTATGTGATAGGCTTAAAGGTATAAAAGAGGATTTAAAGGTAAGTAAAATAATGTATCTGTCTAGTAAAAGGAATTAACTAGAAAAGGAATGGTTATGAGCTGAAGCTGTTAGTGCAGAGACATTAATTAATTAATTTGACAGATATTTATGAATCATTTGGTACATTCTGTGCATTGTGCTAGGAGTTGGGGATGCAGCTGTGAACATGCTCTGTTCTCATGGAATGTCTACCTGGAGGCAGGTAGACCAGGAAACTGCTGTAATAGCTTTACAGGCTAACCCAAGTTCTGTTTATATGTAGGAAATTAAAATCCTACTCTATTTTTTTCTTTTCTTATTGATTCTCCTAGTACAATATGGCTTATTGGTCCATTGGCTTTTCTCTGTTTCTCAGATGAAACTGATCCTGCCCAGAGATAGCAAACTGGTAGTTGAGATGTACTTCAATTTCCTTTGCTTCTGTTTTATTATACATGTACAGTATATTTAAAAATCTTTAAATGGATTTTATTGTTTTGCTGCGTAGTAAAAGTACAGCTATTAATTATAGGATACTTTTGTTTTACAGTGCTTTAAAAGGCTTAGAGGCAATTGAAGCAGTTTAGCACCCGTTGACCTACACACAGACTATTTAACAAACTATTAACTGTACATAATTCAGGGCATTTCAGCTAGAAATCCTGAATGTAGGAGCTTAATTTCACTTCTTCAGTTATATGTTTCTTAAGTATATTTTTCATGACTTTCTCTTCTCAGGTAGAATAATTTAGCTAACTTATGCTCTTAGATAATCACCAATTCTAGCTCTTTTAGAAGCCTCTTTAGCATTTTCTTATGAATGGGACAATTATGAGAACTTTACTTTGAATAGCTATCCTATTTATGGATTTCACTCAGTCTCTTATTACTAATTTTATTATCTCTTTCTCTTTTAACCTCTGATGTTAGAGTGAGTTTGTTGAGCTTGTTTATGATAATAACCATGAGAAAGTTTACATCTAGGAATTTTTTGTTTTTGCCAAATTAGTATATCCAGGAATTTCACAAATTATTTAAAGGCAAAAATCTTGATTTTAAAAAAGAAAATCATGAAACAAAAATTAAAATAAATGAAATCTTAGGAGATTTGATAAAATAAATTGTTATTCACATTTTGTTTGAACATTTAGATTTTGCCCTTATTTCAAGAAGCTGAAGATAAAAACAAACTTTTACGAACTGTGGCTGGTGGAGGTTTAGAAACAATTAGTAATCTGAAAGCTAAGTGGGATAAATTTGAGTTGATGATGGAAAGTCACCAACTTATGATTAAAGATCAGGTAAGAACATTTTAGTTATTTTACTAAAATGAATATGTAATTTGTCTCACTTAAGATTTCTTGCTTTATTCTTTTATAGCCCAGATTTATAAGAATTTAATGCTGCTGTTGAAATTGACCTCCATTAGTACTTTTATAATAAAATACTTTATATAAATGATGATTGTTTCACATGGTTTTTCCTTACTTCCTATCATACCAAGAAAAAACTAGTCCCTTTGAAATGTAACATTATTTTCGGTATTATGAATGAATTTATTGTTTACTTACTGGGTATGGCTTAAGTTTATTTATGAAACTCATGTTCTTTCTTAAATTACTAAATTTATTAGGATATCAGTTTGACTATTCTAATTGAGATCCAAAAAATTGTAGCTTAAGTTTCTCTCTTACATTAGATTGTAAGCTGATATTGTGCCTCTGTTCTGTAGCTTTGTCTGGGATCCAGGTTTCTTTAATCTTATTTGTCTGCCATCTCTAGGATATTGTCCTAAGTGGGTTACCACC